GCCTTGCAGGTCCACCGCTGGGCCCCTCATGGGGCTTGGCAGTGGAGCTGCAAGGCCGGCGCCGGCGGCCAGGACCGTTGGGGACGCGGTGTGTGGCCTTATGACACACTTCCGGTGATGTCAGGGGGTGTGGCCTTATGACACACTTCCGGTGATGTCAGGGGGTGTGGCATATGCTAATGAATTATGCTAATGAGTTCCCCTAGCTCTTTTTCTATGAAACGACCCCTGATTTAAATGCTTTTGAGAAGAAGCAGGGGATGGCCCGTGTCCCTCTCTCTCCCTCCTGCAAGATTTAAAGGGCCCTCCAGCTGATTGATGTCCTCCCCGCCAATCAGCTGAAGGGCCCTTTAAAGAAGCAGGGGATGGCCCGTGTCCCTCTCTCTCCCTCCTGCAAGATTTAAAGGGCCCTCCAGCTGATTGATGTCCTCCCCGCCAATCAGCTGAAGGGCCCTTTAAATCTTGCAGGAGGGAAGGGAGAGGGGTGGCCGCCAGCGGTCAGGCTTGAGGTCAGGTTGGAGCTGACACAAAAATGACAGCCCCACTGGAAAAAAATTTTCCCCACAAGCCACAAAATCCTGGCTATGGGCCTGCCTAGAACTGGCTCACCAAAGCCTTCGGCAGAGTAAGGTCTTTCCCATGATCTGCTTACTTAAGGCTTGGCTGTGATCATATCATCTAGCTCCTTCAGTTTGATTTAAAAACAGCCATTCGGGGAGGACTGCAGTTTGGATCAGGGCTCTCATGCTGGAGGAAGGTTAACCTTCATCCCCTGACATTCCCCCAGCCATCAGGGAGAGAGAGCTGTATCAAACCACCCCCCAATGCCAATCTGGTGTTCTGCCCCTGAGCCAAGCTCTTCAAGACGGTCAAAATATATTACTAGTCCTCATGCAACAGGAATCCTGAAGCACCTAACTAGTGCTGCCAACTATTAACAACCTTTATTCCAGCATACCCATCCAAAGTGAAAAAGTGAGTTCCAATGTTCCCTCTAAGCTGTGGAGTCTTGTGAGCAAAAATTCTACTTTGTGAGCTACTGGCATTAAAGTTGTGAGCGAGTGATTTGATTACTGCATACATTAGTTTGCTCTGGAGCCATCCTTCCTGAGCTGAGACAAAAATGTGTGAGCCAGAGGCTAAAAAACTGTGAGCTGGCTCACACTAACTCGGCTTAATCTGCTTACTTAAGGCTTGGCTGTGATCATATCATCTAGCTCCTTCAGTTTGATTTAAAAACAGCCATTCGGGGAGGACTGCAGTTTGGATCAGGGCTCTCATGCTGGAGGAAGGTTAACCTTCATCCCCTGACATTCCCCCAGCCATCAGGGAGAGAGAGCTGTATCAACTCACCCCCCCAATGCCAATCTGGTGTTCTGCCCCTGAGCCAAGCTCTTCAAGACGGTCAAAATATATTACTAGTCCTCATGCAACAGGAATCCTGAAGCACCTAACTAGTGCTGCCAACTACTAACAACCTTTATTCCAGCATACCCATCCAAAGTTAAAAAGTGAGTTCTGACCAATGTTCCCTCTAAGCTGTGGAGTCTTGTGAGCAAAAATTCTACTTTGTGAGCTACTGGCATTAAAGTTGTGAGCCGGTGACTTGGCTCCTGCAGAAATTAGTTTGCTCTTAGTTTGCTGGCTCACACTAACTCGGCTTAGAGGGAACACTGGTTCTGACTCCTGAACATTTTACACTGGAATAAATTCAGGCGCAGTAGTGAGCCACTGAGGAGCTGCGGTGGCTCAAGTGGCTAAGACGCTGAACTGCAGGAAGGTCGGTAGTTCAGCAGTTCGAGACCCAGGTGCTGCATGATGGAGTGAGCTCCCATAATCTAGTTCCAGCTCCTGCCAACCTAGCAGTTCGAAAGCAAGAAATTGCAAGTAGATAAATAGGTACCACTTTGGTGGGAAGAGAACAGTGTTCCGTGCGCCTTGGTGTTTAGTCATGCCGGCCACATGACCACGGAAACATCTTCGGACAGCGCTGGCTCTTCGGCTTTGAAACGGAGATGAGCACTGCAACCCTAGGGTCGGACTCGACTGGCTTTCGAGCAAGGAAACCTTTACCTTTACCTTTGGTTAGCCACTACTGGACTCCTGTTTAATTTTGTTACA